GGTGGCCACAAACGAGAAAGGACGGGCCGACACAACCTAAAAGTAACCTGTATTGTTGATTCCACAAAGACTATGGCCATAACACCGATGAATGTCGGCACTTGAAAAATGAGATAGAGAGATTAATCAAAGCAGGCCATCTGAAGGAATTTGTTTATAAGGATCGAGAACGGCCCAGTCGACGAAGGGAGAGGAGCAAAAGCCCTCGCAAGAGGGCGAGAACACCCGATAAGGAAGAGCATCCCCAAAAAAGAGGAGTAATTCATATGATATTTGGAGGACCAACTGATGGCGATTCAAACCGGGCTAGAAAAGCATATGCTCGAGGGTATCATGGAAAAACCGAAGTGCAGCAGGTCGAAGAAGATAGTCCGGTGATGAATTTCGGACCAGCCGACATGGGAACAGTCGAGAGGCCTCATAACGATGCCTTGATGATCACAGCCCAGATATCGGGCTACGAAGTCCAGAGAATCTTCGTCGACACAGGAAGCTCGGTGAATGTGATCTTTTTCGATTGCCTTAAACGCATGGAACTCGACATTGAACTCTCACCTCTTCACACTTCAATTTTTGGATTTAATGGCTCGGAAGTTGCCCCCCTGGGGGAAATTACTCTCGCTGTCGTCCTTGGGGAAGGCGACTTAAGGAAGGTAAAAATGGTACGCTTTGTTGTGGTCGACGTCGAGTCGGCTTATAATGTGATTCTGGGAAGGCCGGCACTCAACGCATTCCAAGCGGTGGCTTCAACCTATCATATGAAGCTGAAATTCCCAGTTGGAAATAGGGTAGGAGAGGCCCGAGGCGACCAGAGGCTGTCAAGAACCTGCTATCAAATTGCAGTAAGGACAAATCAACGGACAGAGGGGAAGGAAGGAAAAAAGCCGATGATGAACGAAAAAAGGCCAAGGAATTCTGATCTCGAACCCCACGGGGAGTTAATGGAAATACAAATCGGAGAAACAAAGGAGCAGACCACTAAGGTCGGGAAAGATCTGGAAGCCGAGCTACGAAACCAGCTGATCACACTATTAAGGGAGTTCAGGGATGTCTTTGCCTTCACCCCTGAAGAGTTGATAGGGATCGACCCCGCTGTTATGGAGCATAAACTCAATGTCGACCCCCTCAGAAAACCAGTAAAACAGCGACTTAGACGTCATGAGGAAGAGATCGACAAAGCAATTGAAGTCGAGGTGGATAAGTTGCTGCGGGCAGGACATGTCAAAGAAATCCAATTCCCCGAATGGATATCCAACACTGTGATGGTAAGAAAGGCACTAAACAAATGGCGCATGTGCATCGATTTCCGGGACTTGAACCTGGCTTGCCCAAAGGATCATTACCCTTTACCACGAATTGATCAGCTTGTCGACTCTACGGCTGGTTGCGAGTTATTGAGTATGATGGATGCATCTCAGGGATACCATCAGATCCCGTTATGCCCGGAGGACCAAAGTAAGGTGAGCTTTGTGACGAGTAAGGGGACGTATTGCTACGTGGTCATGCCTTTTGGGCTTAAGAATGCCGGAGCCACCTACCAACGGCTGATGGACCGAATGTTCAAATCTCAGATCGGACGAAGTATCGAGGTATATGTGGACGACATCTTGGTAAAAAGTAAAGTCTCAGCCTCACACCCGGACGACTTAAGGGAAACATTTCAAACTCTTAGGACGTTCGGGATGAAGCTGAACCCCAACAAGTGTGCCTTTGGAGTAAAGGCAGGGCGATTCCTGGGATATGTCGTCACAGAGCATGGAATCGAGGTAAATCGGGAAAAAGTGAAGGCCATACTTGACATGGCCCCACCAAGAAGCATACGAGATGTGCAAGTTCTGACGGGACGGATTGCAGGACTGAGCAGGTTCATTGCTCGGGCCGCATAAAAAAGCTTCCCATTCTTCAAATTGTTGAAAAAGAAGTCGACCTTTTTATGGAGTGACGAGGCACAAACGGCTTTCGAAAAATTGAAAGAGTTCTTGGGCGAGCTGCCCTTGTTGACAAAACCAGAACCCGACGACGAGTTGGTGCTCTATATATCTGTGGGTGCAGTATCACTAAGTTCGGTGTTGTTACGAGAAGAAGGAGGTGTCCGAAAGCCAATTTACTACACCAGTCGAGTTCTACAGGGTGCTGAGACGAGATATTCTGAAATCGAGAAAGCCGCCCTAACATTGGTAATAACGGCTAGAAAGCTAAGGCCATATTTCCTGAACCATGTGGTGTTAGTGAGGACGAACTTTCAGCTAGGAGAGACACTGGGCCGGCCCACGGTATCGGGTCGACTCGTCAAATGGGCAGTCGAGCTGAGCGAATATTCGATCAAATACGAACCAAGACGAGCCATAAAGGCCCAGGCCCTAGCAGATTTCATCCAAGAAGGTACCAAAGGGGAAGAAAAGAAATGGGTTGCTCATGTCGATGGGTCATCGGCGGCCAAAGGATCGGGTCTTGGAATCATTCTCGTCTCACCCGAAGGCGAGCAACTTGACTTTGCTAGTAGAATGGGATTCAAAGCCTCGAACAACGAAGCCGAGTACGAAGCGCTAATCAAGGGAATTCAACTCGCAATTGGTGGAGGAGCGTCGGAAGTCGTAGCACATTCCGACTCGCAGTTAGTCGTTGGACAAGTGTTGGGAAACTGCGAAATCAAAGAAGAGCGAATGATGAAATATGTCGAAGAAATCCAAAGCCTTGTGCAGGGCTTGGAAAAGTTCGAACTAACGCAGATCCCTCGGGAAGAAAACAAACGAGCAGATTGGCTTGCGAGAATAACAAGCTCGAATGAGGGAAAGATGGGAAGTTCCATTATTACAATGCACTTAGAAGGGAGCGTGTTGGGCGAAACAATGGAAGTCGAGGAAAAGGATGATTGGAGGAAGCCGA